CGAAGGAATAATAGGCCCTTAGGACTACATGCGTTCCGAAGGAATAATGGGCCCTTACGGACTATATGTGTTTCGAATGAACAATGGGTCCTTACAGACTAAATGAGTTCCGAAGGAACAATGGGTCCTTACAGGCTAGTTGCATTCCGAAGGAACAATGGGTCCTTACGGACTAGATGCGTTTCGATGGAACAATGGGTCCTTACGGACTAGTTGCGTTCCGAAGGAACAATGGGTCCTAACGGACTAGATTCATTCCAAAGGAACAACGGGTCCTAACAGACTAAATTCATTCCAAAGGAACAACGGGTCCCAAAGGGGCTAAAAAAAAAATTTTTAATTCTTCCAACAAGCGTGGAGAGGATAATAAAATAAAATAAAATAAATAAAAAATTATTCTTCGAGCAAACGTGGAAAAAAAATGTATATAAATTCTTCCAGCAAGTGTGGCAAAAAAAAAAAAAAAATTGTTCCAGCAAGCGTGAAGAGCAAAAAAAAAAAAATTAAATTAAATTTTGTTCCAGCAAGCGTGAAGAGCAAAAAAACAAAAAAAAACAAAAAAAAAAAAAAAGATGAAGAAGAAGAAGAAAATAAAAATAATATAAAAAAATAGTCATACCAATTATTTGTGTTCAAGCAGAGACCGCAATCCAACATAGTTTTTAGAAGTTGTGATTTGACAAGTTTTTAGAGATTATTGGAATTGATGTCAAACCCTATAATATTGACGGTATATATAGACAACAAAATACCTCCAAATTGTATTGGGATTTGGATAATTCTGTTGAAATAGGAAAGTAAAATTCCAATCCAAAGTTGGATAGGAAAGCAAAAGAGGAAATCTTACAATCCAAAGTTAAAAAAAAAAAAAAAAAAAAAAAAAAAAAAAAAAAAGAAGGAAAGTTGAATACCTCAAGTCCCACTTGAAAAAGGAGATAAGTCCTGTTAATCTTGGGACTCGAAGTGGGGGCAATTTGTAAATACTAAAATTTAGTGGGCTTTGGTTTTAACAAATGAACCAATTAAATATGGGCCTAATGTTTAATTAAGTTATTTAATTGGTCCAGGCTTGGTCCATTTAAATTATTTAATTAGCCCAACCCAGATGATTAAATGAAAAGATAATTATTCCTAATAAAATATATTTGGAATAATTAATTTTAAGGATAATTATCATAATATAACCGGTCTGGCCCAGTTATGATTTTTTTTCCTTATCATGAGATGATACGTGTCATCATCCTATTAATGCAAGAAGCCTATAAATAGAGGCCTGGAGAAAGAAGAAAAAGGGACAAAAAAAAAAAAAATTTTGAAGATACAGAGATTCAGAATTCAGAAGTCCAGAGACTCAGAAGTCAGAGACACAAATTCAGAATCCAAACCCAACAGCGAAGAACATCAAGCACATCCAACAACGTGTCGTTCTTCATCAAATCCTACGGTGATTAACAACAAGCACACCAACGACGTGCCATTCTTCATCAAATTCCACGATGATTCAAGAACAAACTCGTGCAGCCCTTGGATCCAACCAACAACAAAAAGGAGATCGAATCAGAGGACCATTATTTTTGTAAAAAATATTACAAAGGATTGTACTCCAAATATTTCTAATTTAATAAATTATTATTTTGCCCATATTTTATCTTTATTTGCAGAGAACAAAATTTGTGTGTACAGGGTTAAGATGAGTACTCACTCTTCACCCACCATTGACTCTTAAATTGAATGAGTACTCACATTTTATTTATTATTGACTTGCTCACTTAAGTTTTGTTGCTTAAATAATTTAATTTTGGGTTAATTTTATTGACACCCCCTCAGGTTTGGTCAAATATCACATAGAAACACATTTCAAAAATTACTATCACTCAGACCCCAAATGCCTTTTTCATTAATGACACCGTTAAAAATGTTTGAAAAGACAATTTTACCCTTAATTTTTTTAATAATTTTTATTGTAAAATATTTAAAAATTAAAATGACTAAAATTAAGGGTAAAATTGTCATATATAAAGAAGAAAAGGTGGAGAAAGCTGATAGTGTAGATGATGAGAAATATATATATATATATATATATATATATATAAAGAATAATTATAAATTTATAATTATAATTTGATTGGTGTACATGATGATATATAGTGTAAATATATATAAAGAATATTTTTTAAAAAATAATTATAATTTGCTTCGCGTAAATAATGAGAATTATATATATATATAAAGAATAATTTTAAATTGGAGGTGGGTGTACATGATATATGTGTGTGTGTGTGTAAAGAATAATTATAAAATTATATAATAAAGGTGAAAGGGTAATTCAAGTCATTTCAACACTTTTTAAAGTCAACAAATAGTTATAAGTGTAGCAATGTTATTTTACATACAAAAAGGCATCTGGCGCATGAAAAGTAACTTTTGGGATGTAAGTGAAAAACGAATCAAACGTTTGTAATGTGAATGATAGTTATTTTCGAAATATGTTTCAATGTGATATTTAATCAAATTTGAGGGAATGTCAGTGAAATTAAACATTTAATTTTAGTGGACAAATTTAGACTTGAATTGTGACTCTAGTACTAACTACTAACAATAAGAATCTTATTACTTAATTTACACTAATCCGGCTGTAGGTAGGGACCACAAGTCTACCTATCAAGTACCGATTTCTCTTTTTTTTATTTTACCATCCTAAATCCTAATTGCTTATTATTCTTATTATTATTATTATTGTGGTGGTTGTTGTTGGTAGATAAGCAAGAGATTGACAAAGATGTTGCACACGCAATGCCATTAACCAACCCAATTACTTTAACATGCAACATTATTAAACATTTCGCTGCATGTACAAGCAATAATAATGGTTTCTTATATCCAAAAGACATAATTATCCCTTACCCACCACCAGCTCCAACATCAATCAGGCATGTTTTTGACTTTTTCCATTTAGGTACCCTCTCAAGTCTCAACCAACAGAGACTACTGCCCAAAGCAACTACCAAAAAACAAAAACAAAAACAAAAAATATATATATATTGTATCGTCGAGAACATTTTTGACCCTTCCAACCAAATTTATTTATTTGTTTTTGTTCCTCCAACGAGGATTGAAGTTTGTGTATTTCTCCTACCTCCCAAAATGAAAAATGAAGGATAAATCCCCATAGAGGCAACTTTCGTAAGTTTCTTCCCAAGAAAGAAAAAAAAAAAATCAAATAAATAATTTTTTTAAAAATAGTATTCATTAAACTTTAAATCAATAATGCAATAACAATATATTTAACATTTAAATCAAGGATGTAATAATTATAGGGTCAAGTGTAGAAAATATTCCTAAAATATTTTTACAATGCATATCACACCCCCCACGTGCAAAAAACATTCCTAAAATTTCAATTTCGTGTAAATAGATCCCTTTGACAAATTTAAATCCTAAATTTACTAAATTACCCTTACTAAAGCATTTTATAAAATATATAAAAATAAATAACTTTGTAAAATGACCGAAAATGACATTATTGGAGGACGGCAATAGACAAGTAGAGATAGAAATAGAAAATAGAAATAAAAATAAAAGTATAAAAGAAAAGTAAAGATAAAAATAAAAAATAAAAAATGAAAATAAAGTGCAAATTAAAGAAAACAAATCTGCTCCAAACTCTGAAAATCAATGCACACTGATATTGGAATTTTTTTTTTCTTTTTATTATTATTATTATTATTGTTTAACAATATTGGTACAAAAAATATAAAATAAAGAAGAAAAAAATTAGTAGAAAATATTAAACTGAAATCTTAAAAAATTTAAATCTTTTTTATACAAATTCTCAAAATTTCAAGAAATATATATAGAGCTAAAAGTTTCAAAATATATATATATATATATATATAAAACGTAATGTGTACATAACACCCTTATATTATGAAATTAGTATCATATATACTTCTTTATACATTTTCGGAAGAGTAAAAGGGCAAAACGAGTATTAGACTACTAATTAATGTCATATTTATTATTGAAGGGTATTTTTGCACAATGTGAAAAGATTAGGAGTGTTTTTTGTAAAATTTTTAAATAGGGGTAAAAGTGTTACACCTGCACTTGTCCAATAATTATATTGAATTGTAACATTCGAAATAACAATAAATAAAAAAAAAAAAAGAAAAATGCAACTATAGGTGCAAAAAAATTGCCCTAACGAAAAGCGCACAAAGTTTACACCAAAAACACTCAAAAATTGAGCAAATCTGTTTTTTCTTAGGTAGAGCCTCTTTGTGTACCAAAATTGATCTCCCTTTGTTTTGTGATCTCTAGATCCCGGCATTTATACCAAGATCTATGCTTCATTCACGACTTTCCTTGGGTCTTATTTTCGGAGATTGATATTCATTTTTCAATTTTGCATTGTAAATCGGGTGATATCAAATTCAATTCCTTTTTTTTTTTTTTTGTTGATTCATGGAATTTTTAATTTATTTTTTGGCTAATTTGGCAAGCCGATTGGTCTGTTCGGCTAGCTATATGAATTGTCACCGCTAATAGATATGCTAACTACGAGAAATTATTCATTGTAATTGTTACAACAATAACGTGATGTAACGGACGATTACAAATACTCTACCAAAGCACATATATTAATTTTTTAATTTTATTCTAGATTTACTTTAATTTGGTGAAATATTTATAACCATTCATTGTACCGTATTATTGTTACAACAGTTATAATAAATAATTTCCTGCCAACTACGTATTGTATACCTTTATAAATAATATTGGGGCAATGTAGTATTGTGGTGAACTGTGTCATCCAATCAAAAATCCCTGCCAAATTAAACCTGGATGAGTGAGGATATTTTATTTTTCTTCTAGAAGGTGCGCATAACTAATATTTTTCAAAAGATTTAAAGTTTTGGAAGTAATTTGATCAAAGAAAGAAGGCCATTTCTGTAACTTTATGCCTTCCCACTTCTTCTATAAAATTGCTTCCTATCAACTTATAAAAATTGCAACACCCTCCTAACTCTGCTTCAACTCACATAGCCCGGAAAGTTTCGTTTTTTTCCCGGAAAATTTTAATGGCAGAGAAAAGCAAGATTCTGATCATAGGCGGAACAGGTTACATCGGAAAATTCATCGTGGAAGCGAGCGCAAAAGCCGGCCACGCCACCTTCGCTTTGGTTAGAGAAAGCACAGTTTCCGACCCTATTAAGGGAAAACTCATCGAGACCTTCAAGAATTCCGGCGTCACTTTGCTATATGTAAGAACACTCATTTCTCCAAACATATATATATATATATATATAGATATAGATATTTGTGTATAAATGGATATATTATAGTATATGTATATATACATTTACAAATAATTTTGTTCGATAACACAATTTAGGATCAAGTATTTATTCAATTAAGTGTATTTGATAACCTAATTCAAATATTTTGATTCTATTTGATTACTCCATTTGAATCTTTGAAGTGACCGTTACATTTTTGGTACTTAATTTTTAAATGTATGTATGTTTATGTGTTGTACGGAACAGGGAGATCTGTATGATCACGAGAGCTTAGTGAAGGCGATAAAGCAGGTGGATGTGGTGATATCAACGGTAGGCCACATGCAGTTGGCGGATCAGGTGAAGATCATCGCTGCCATTAAAGAAGCTGGTAATATCAAGGTTCGTATATGTGTGTGTGTGTGTGTGTATATATATATAGCATTCATTCTTCACTTTGCAGTTAATTTTTCAGATTAATTACAAAAAATTAGCATTTCTACAAGCAAAAACACAACCCATGTCCACAAAGGCTGTGCCTATTAATTCTATCTCCTAAAAGGAATTTAAAATCATGTGTTTGTTTACTCTTTAGTTTAATTGATTTTTGCGCAAAACAATGATAACTTCATATTTGGGCTTATATTCTAACGAAGAAATCAATTGGAGGCTTTTGGTCCTACGCGTTCCGGAACAAAATTATTTAGTTGTATCAAACTGCTTTTGGTCTTCATGAGGTGTGAAGAGCTACATAATTATATTGGTTTGTGTGTGTATGCATATATATTCTCTGTGTAGTTTTCTTTTTATGATTTTGTTTTATTATGTGGGTCACATTTGAAAATGTGAATCCAATCCTCTCCATCCAACTTGCATACCTTAATTGTGTGGTATAGATTCAGCTATCTGGTTAAAGTTTTTTTTTTTTTTTTTTTTTTTTTTTTTTTTTTTTTTTTTTGAAGTGGCAGACTTCGATCAGATGATGATGTGGCAGAATCTAGACCACATGATTGACATATGCAAAGTTTAGGAGAGCTATTTGGTTAGAGAGCATCCAAGCTAAATTTGTCATGTCAAAATCAGTAATTTAAGTGAACTAACCTAGATTCGTTATATTCGAAATTGGAACCCCTTTCAATCTAAACGACATGATTGACTATCCTTTTCTTTTCTTTTTTTTCTTTTTTTTTTTTTCGATAAATTGTGATATACTTTCTAAACATCATAATCTGCAATATTTCAGCTTCAGAACAGAATATTTGACTATATTTTGAATTTTACCTATTGTTTCCTTGGATAATGTGGTTTACTTGTGCCTTTTTTATCACTAATGGACGATGATACACTTGTACATCAAGCCTGAATACTTTCTAAACATCCTAATCTGCAATATTTCAGCTTCAGAACAGAGAATTTTTTTAAAAAAAAAATTTATGTTCTTACATGTAATGGACAACTTTCTCATTAACATAATAGGTTAGTTTCAAGGGGCACCACATAGAGGCTGGACTTTCTAATAATTTTGTTGAATTATTCAGAGATTCTTCCCTTCGGAATTTGGGAACGATGTGGACCATGTTCATGCTGTTGAGCCTGCAAAAACTGCATTTTCAGTTAAGGCCCAAATCCGCCGAGCTATTGAGGCTGAGGGAATTCCCCACACCTTTGTGACTGCAAACTGCTTCGCGGGCTATTTCCTTCCTACATTGGTGCAGCCTGGAGTTACTGCTCCGCCTAGAGATAAAGTAATCATCTTAGGGGATGGAAATCCCAGAGGTATTGAAAATTTCTACAAATTCTTTTTTTTTTTTTTTTTTTTTTTTTTCCCGAATTATCAACTTCACATTAATAATCTCTTTCCAAGGAATCCAAAGCTCGGCAAATAGTATTTTTAGGTGAACATGATATGATTAGGTTTTCCAGGAACAAGAAGCTTGTGCATAGTTACATACATATTTGTACACATGTATCACAAGCTTGTGCTTAAATATAAGCATCCACGCTACACAGAAATGCATATATCATAAGCTTTTGCTTAAAATGAGAACAGGCATTCAACTTGTGTCCAGTTTTAGACTAGACTCTAGCAATCTGGAGTAACGTTTTGCATCGATAAACGAGTTACAATGTGGTTACCTCCAAATGCAGTAGCAGACACTTGTGCTTAGTCCTTGTTCGTTTAACAGCCCCTTAGGTTAAGATGAAGTTAGCATATATCCTTTCCATACGCATTCTGCACCTATCTGCATTTTATGCCGGGATTAAAACTGAAATAGTCCGAGCTAAGCTGTTCACATGGTACACATATAAGAAAAAACAGGGTACATTTTTAAATCTTTTTCTTCATTCTTGGTTGATTTATTGTTATATTATGTGAGGAAACACAGTACAGAAGTCTTAACTCTTATTTCGTCGAATTTCTTGTTTTTGACTAATAGCAATATTTAACGAGGAACACGACATTGGCACCTTCACCATCAAAGCTGTGGATGATCCGAGAACATTGAACAAGATCCTCTACCTCAGGCCTTCCAAAAATATTTACTCGTTCAACGAGCTTGTCTCCCTTTGGGAGAAAAAGATTGGCAAAACCCTTGAAAAAATCTATGTACCGGAAGAGAAAATTCTCAAGGACATCCAAGGTCAGTAGTACATTTTCTTTAGCAAAAGCTTGTACTAAAACTAACCGAAGTAATCTAGCATCTGATTCATTTGCAAAGTGGTTGACATTGGCTAATTCCTTGCAGAGGCCCCCATTCCGATCAATGTTGTGTTAGCAATCAACCACTCGGTTTTTGTGATGGGAGATCACACCAACTTCGAGATTGAACCATCCTTTGGGGTTGAGGCTTCCGAGCTTTATCCGGATGTCAAATACACCAGTGTGGAGGAGTACCTTGCTCAATTTGTTTGAGGGATTCAAACTTCTGCTCTTCTCGGTACTAAAATAACAAACTAGAGTGCTTACTATTCGGAGGTTCCATATAGAATGTTTTAAGTTCATTTGCTTCTCGTACGAAAACCATAAAATTAAAATGAATTGACGGACCTTGATTCCTTTGCTTTCTATTTATTTTCCCATGGCTGGTACAATATGAGGTGTATTCTAAGCTCATGAGTATTGCTTGTGCTGTTTTACCATCATATAAGAAAAGGGTTTTCTGCTCAAATAAAGAAACATCGAATTTAAGTCATTCAATAACTCTCTTATTGTCATTACTCTTGTTCCAATATTATGTATTTCTTGGGTGTGTGTGTGCAAGTGCGCGCAAATGAGGGAATTCACTACAGCTGTGTATCTTGTGAAAAAATAAAGGCCATTGCGCTGTGCAATGGTACAATGTTTGGATTCCCACATGGTCCAGATCTAGATCCCAAGAAAAATCAGTGTGTGTAAAGAAACCAAAAGTTAAATCCATATCTAGTCTGTCTCTCCTAAACAGAGTCCACACTGGGTGATGATGACCGTACAAACCATTCACAGACTATTATTTACATATCTGGGTTGGAAATCAATGATCATAAAATATAAGGTGAGTGGCGCACGAATCGGAGTTTGAAGAAGGTGAGCCCGGACTCGCAACAGATAGAGGAGGATTTATTCAATCACGTAGTTTGGGCACATAGAATATGGCGCCCTTGGGGCTTTCTATTTGATTGTATTGTCAGGCTAATGAATTGGGATTTCCCTATTGGTCCACGTCATTTTGGTGCAAGCGAATCATTTATGATGAAGAGGATGAGCTTCAAGAGAATGATTCGGAATTGTGGAACATGCAATACAGACACAAGACAGATCTTCCAAAGAACAAGAAGGCCTTTTTTGAATAAGACAATTTATTTGGGACTTTTGATTATCATTTTGGTAGATTAAGCGCTTATCAAATTAATTGTGTTTTAAGCGACTTAAAATGGATTAAAAATTTAAGTGACACCACTACTTATCAATATAAATATATATATATATATATATATATATATATATATATATATATATATATTAAGTGACACCACATCAAAGACATTTATAGTCCAAGGCATTCTAGACTATTGATGTGAGGCGCATTAGATCCAAGCGTATGTGCATTGGCGATAGTGATGTGGGTCGTGTTAGATCCACGCGCCAATGAAGTGATAGTGATGGAGGTCAGCGCCAATGAAGTGATAGTGACGGAAGTCAGCTGTTGCAATCAGTTCTAGTTTTTTTTGTACGAAAGAAAAAGGATTTGATTAAAAGGAAAGTTGATAATAATAATAAAATTAAAGTAAAGAGTATAATTAATGTTTAGATAAGAGAAAAAATAATAATATTAATACGAAATGACAAATTTAATGAGAAATAGTTACAATAAATATGTCATTAATTATAACACATCAATAGTTCAAATGGGACAAAGCAAAATTTTGCTTTCAAAAGCATAACAGCAAGGGCTCGAATTGTAACAAGTACAACGAATGATCAAATGTTGAAAGAAATCATAAACTCACGAAAAATCTACCAAAGTTATTAATAAAGGTCTGAACTACAATTTTCATTTGTTAAATCAACCCTAAGTCCGAGTCAACAGCACATGCCGAATGTTGAAAATTCATAAAAATATCAAAAATTATTTTTAATTATCGCTTAAAAACTTCAGTACTTCAAATGCAGTTCTTAACATTTTCCGTACTTAATTAATTTTGAATTTTATCAAACAGCACCTTATTGTCACCGGAGAATTCGACATTCTTGTAAACGAATAGCATTAGCGTTCAACTATGTGTTGATGACACCATCCATTGAAGTTGTTCAATCGCCTGGGGAAGAAAGAAATAACAAGGATAGGAGGAAAGTCCCAAGAAATTGATTAGATTGAGAATTAGGTACTTCCAGTTACAACTGCAAGGAAAAATGACTTCTGAGAGTACTACTACATTTTCTTGCAACACAAGAAAATTAACCAGCCGGGAGTTCAATTCCCGTTACGAACAGAAGTGTGATCGTTTTAACCAGCAGTTTCATCAAGAAAATTAAGAATTTTAATTGATCAGAGACTCAAGCTAGTCCAATAGTAGTTGGTATAAATGAAATTCAACAAGAGGCAATTTTTGAGATGTTTGTGCTGAGGTAGCGAAAGATAAAATCGCACAACTTAAAAATATCCAGCAAGAAACAATGGCGGCAATTCATGGTTTCATCCATATTCCAGTAACTCATTTGTGCAAGCATTTCTTTCTACCTCATTCCGGGACAATGATGAAGAGTTTGCTAGCTCCTGCATCATCAGATATCCATTGGAGCTGCACCCTGGTCTGCAGGAGCACTCTGGTCAGTAGGAGCACCCTCTTCAGCGGGAGCACCCTCTTCGGCAGCAGGAACCTCTTCAGCAGCAGGAGCTTGTTCCCCTGCTATCTCAAATGCATCAATCAACGCTTGTACGGTTTCATTATCCAATATATGGAATGCCTCTCCTACTCCTACAACAGCAACTGTGCAAATCGAGCTAGTGAGCTTCTCTCCTTGTAAAGCTTCCCTCAATGCAAAAAGAGCATCCTTGAGCAGATCCTCTCTTGGAGAACTTGTGAACTTCTCAAACTTGCGCTCCATGTATGTCTTTGCAGCTTGTGAGCGGGACCCAATGGCAAAAGCTTGATATTCAAAGTAGTTTCCACTTGGACAGTTGTAATAGAGGTGAGCTCCAGATTCATCCATGCCGGCTACCAGCAGACCAACGCCATAAGGCCGTTTCCATGAGCGCTGGGTGCAAACCTACAACCAGAGAGATGATAATTACAGAACAGGACAAGCTGCTCTTGCAGTCGACAAAAAAGTACTGCAACTTGCTTGTTATAAATGTAAAATGAAGGGGAATAAAGAAAGTAAAATACCAACTTTCAATTAAGCAACAATTTCAAAATTAATGTACTTCCGCTGGAATAGTGATAAGATGAGAGAATAAGGCCTTATAGTTTCAAATAATCAAAAGAAAGGTCAATGTCAAATGCCAAACTGGTGTCTTTAATATCAAATTGTTAGGCAGTGCACTGATGCACTGTGTTACGTTTCATGCACATGATAATTTTGAGACCAGCAGTTATCATTTGAGGATCTTTCCACTAGGGGTATCACAAGTTCAAGCTAGACACACTCCAGGTTAAATGTTTCAGGATAAATTGAGATGACAAATGGAAAACCAATTATAAGTAAAGTTGGCTTTTTGCCCTTCAATGAAAGAGCTTACCTTTCCACCAGGGTGGCAAAATGGGTCAGGAACCATCAACCCGCCCATATCCGCCCGCCTTTTAATGGATATGGGTGAACCATATTAATTTGAGGGTCAAGATGGGTTGGGTAATTTTTAATCACTTAATTTGAAGATCAAGATGGGTTGAATATAGAATAAATGTGTATTGTGTGTTTATTATGTGATGGATGAAGTATGGGTTGAATATGGTTAAACCATATTCAACCCATACTTCATCCATCACATAATAAACACACAACACACATCTATTCTATATTACACTCAACTCATTTCTAACTCTAAAAATCTCTCTCACAATCTTCTCTCTCTTCTCTAAGTTTCTCTTTCTAGAAAATTCTTCTAAAAAAATAAATAATTAAAAAATAATTTTAAAAAATTAAATTATAATTAAAAATAATAATTAAAATAATTTTAAAAATTTTATAAAAAATTTTAAAATAAAAAATTATGTATTAAATGGATAAAATACATAATATAGGACGTTATTTTATTTTTTATTTTTGAATTAAAAACTCTACTCTTTTACAATGAAAGAAAACCTCACGTTCATAATTATTCAAAATAAAATCATTTTTATACGAATGTGCATTGCTTAGAAGTATCTTCAAAATACATTGTACATCAACATTATCGATTATTTAAATAGGGAAACACAACGTGACAAATAATGTTCTTTTGAATGCCAACCATCTGAAATTTTGACTTCCAGATATACAAATCTCAAGGCTGATCAAACGGTGGTAATTGAAGGTCTACCTACACCTCACCTACAGGTGAGAGTAACTTTGCCCAGGGAGGAAGTTTCTCTCCCCTTTCGTACGTCCGCTCTCTCTCTCTATAAATACGTTTCTAATCTTTCTTCCACTCTCAGACCTCTCCAGTTTCAATCTCTCTCTAGATTACTTCAACTAATTTTTCTCTCTATACTTTTCTGAAAGTATAAAAATAAAAAATAAAAAAAATAATTAATGGGTTCACGGGTCATAACGGATTGACCCTACCCATTTTCAATCCGTCTATTTTCAACCCGTTCTGAATGAGTTAAATATGGGTCTTGACCCATATTAACCCGTCCATTTTCAATCCAACCCAAACTCGGCCCAACCTGCCCATTTGCCACCCCTACTTTCCACCCACCAAAAAAAAAAAAAAGGGGGGGGGGGGGGGGGGGGGGGGGGCGCTAAATGACAGGTCAAACTATACGACTGGCCTCTCAAGCACAAACTGGCAAGGGCACAGATATGATGCTATTACGGGATATGTATCTGATATGTCTGCTTGTAGACCCACATACTCGACAGGTAGGCTCAACAAAGAACAGGAGGAAGATATAACAAGTACACTTGAGGGAAATAGGACCTTCAAGTTTTATTGTTATCACTCCTTTAAGAACCATGTATAACAATTCACATTAAAATTTTATTTTATGATTTTATCCTTAGGCTAGACATAGAAAGAAACTAGTCAAAAATCATAATTCAGCAATGTCCACATGTACTTGGATTCAGGGATTTGACACTTATTACTACTAGAGAATGAGAACCAGAAAAACCACAGCACCACACAGGTGTATCAAATATCTAATGTAACTCGATTTTTTATTTTTTATTTTTGGGGGAAGGGTTAGCATAGCGGAAATTTATTCTAATTTATTCTCTTTTCGATAACTAGAATATAATAATTATCAAAATATATGCTCATGACTGCACAATAGACATATCAATTCCCCAACAAGACTTTACATGATTTAAGTTCACATAACCAAATTTTTGGAAAGATTGCAAATGAACCAAGCAACTAGTGAATGGCTTGAGCTCAGTTGACGTTCATCTATTAAGTAATCCAAGGTCAAGCCCATTTTTCAGAATTTCCCAAATGAGCTATACCCAAACATTGTCAACCTTAGCTCATATAGTAGGCCAATAGAATTTCTCTATTTAATATACAATAGCCCTAAAATTTGTTCCAACAGTTCATTAATTTGGCTCATTAAGATAATGTTCCATTGAATCCCAAACATCCCACTGGACCCTCATGTTCGCCAACCCATACCATATACTCAAATCCAAGCAAGCCTTATAATGAGATAAGACCTCAACTCTGATCACACTACCCCCTTCTCAATGGTAAGATGCTTGAGCATTGATGCAACTAGCGTGAGCCCGAGATTCAGAGCAACCACTTTGTGACATACCAAAAGTCAGGTGTGTGCAACGTGCGTGTGTTTCTTGCCAATGAAAAAAATTAAAGACATACCAAAAGTCAAGTATGTCTAGAGTCCTCCCTCCTCATGACCCTGCCATGGTGGGACGAACAAAGTAATGCCCTTTTACCAGTAATTTGACATGTAAACGAGATTTAAAGCCAAGCTCAAGCTTATTCCACTGCTTTCAATTAACCTTGAGCTTAGTCGGGCCAAGATTAATTGAACATGAGTTGAGCCCAAACATCTTTTTGCCTTTTACAAGCTGAGAAGAATAACCCAGAGTTCTACTCGTCTCGATTCATTTACTTCCCTAGATAAAGCCAAATTAGGACCACCGATTAGTCACGAGCTTTGAGTTGTTTGGGTTTGGCTCATCAAAGACAAAAGCATGTTTAGCTTAGCTTGTGTTTAGGTAAGCTCAAGAAGCCAATCTCGAGCTGGGCTTGACGGCGTTCTAGCTCGAGCTAACTCAAGGTCATTAAGATATGTTAAATATCAAACTCTGTAAACACAGATATCCAAAAGTATGAAATCGTGTATATATATATATATATATATATATATATATATATATATATAGACATACTAAGCTGATTCATTAATAAAGGGAATGATCTCCTTTAGCATTTTGCAATTTCAACTATTAATCTCAAGATCCACTAGCCACAAATCCACCATTGATGCCAACACGAGACAAATGAAAGAAACATAAGATGCGACAGAGAGAGAGAGAGAGAGAATTTAAGGTTTGTCCTTTCGGTCATTATTCTTGGTTACCTGTGAACTTTGGACTATAGAAGGATGATTGAGCAATGTGGTTGCCGACTAGCGATGGTAGTGTGCTTCCAATAGTCAAAGATAAGAAAGGCGATATCTTATTATGCTAAGGGGAAGTTGGATATAAGATAGAAAGGTTGACAGCGTTAAAAGGGGTGGATAATCAGATTTAAAATCTTGCCTTATTATGGGGCATATTTGGATTTGAGGAGATAATGTGGGTTACTAACTTGAGATTAAGCAATCAGAATTCACTTTTCATTGACTTTTCAAAGTTAAATACAAAAGGAAATTAGCTCATAATAGAAAAAAAATAAAAAATAAAAAATAAAAAAGCAAGAGAAGTGATGTGGCATACCTATCTATATGGGATGAAGGCAAGGACGATGATGATATGGGTTTTTCAGATATGAAGGTTCGGTGGGTTATTTGGATTTTAACCAAATATAGGCTAAATGGACCCCATTAATGAAACAATGTTATATTGTTTGGTAAATTTTTTTGGATTGCTATATTGAAAATGTAGATAGATTTTCAGGGTCTATTAGACAAATATGCATTGTGTTCACCTGAGAAGCATCGATATGAATACAGGACACAGATCGACACGGACATTGACACAATGACTACTAATAAATATATCTTTTTATAGGTATGATTCTATATTTTAACAGTAATATTACTTTTCATCAACCTAACAATGAAAAATTCACAAACCATAATAATTCATGAGTATTATGTCACAACCCACCCTGTTGTGTAGATATTGTCCGCTTTGCACACTTTCGTGCTCACAGTTTTCAAAACGTGTCTACACAGTTAGAAGTCATCCACACATATAAGTGCTAACAACCTCTCTCCCCAGGCAATGTGGGATATCACAATATATGAATAATTAATTTATCATTTATGGAACTACACAATTGAATCAATCATTTATGGAGCGTCGCCTTCGCAAACATGAATGGTATAGTTTTTAACAGTTTTTCACTTGAGAAAAATAAAAAAATAAAAAAATTACCTTCATCTCCGGAGTCTCAAAGGAAAGATCTTTCTTTGAAGAAAATGTTCTCTATTTATAGTTGGATTTGATTGGCCACCATTTATGGAACTACACAATTGAAATCTACTCCACAACAACAATAATAATTGTTTTTAAAACCAAAAATTTTAAATATTTTATGTTATGACCGCCATATTAATAAAAAAATTTAAAGAAATCATATTTACACCTTTACCCATCTTTCTTTTGAAAATCAGAACTCTTTAACAAGCGAAACATTCAGAAACGCGTCCATGGCATGTTCATACCTCGTCCACATCTTGTCTGAAAATTAAGAAAAATTCTGGACACGTCTTTGGCGAGTCCAACACTTGTCAATGTCCGATACGGATTCTTTGACCTTTTAGGCATGTCTATGCTTCCTAGGTGTTCACAAACTAATAGGAGTCACTTATCACAATGGGCTGGTTACATACCTAAAACGACTAGTCACTTGTAAGATTCTTGGAAAGATTTTA